ACAGAAATTTTCACTTCTGAGAAGAGAGATCTGAGGCTGCCTTCTGTTCAGGCCAGTATGGTGACTGAGTGGAAAATTTCACTCCCCAGTTTCAGTAAGATGCAACTTAGGCTGGTTCTTGCAAATAGTTGTAAAAGGAAAGTTACTGCAGGAGAGCTCTGTAACCAAGAGGTCTCCATGGACAGCCTGTCATCCTAATGAGAGACACTTCTTAATTAAGCAAAGATGCTGCATTGTAGCTGAAGCAATTCCTAAGTGTCCCAGCTTCCCTCATCACATCAATGTGTCTGGAGTTACAGAGCTCCCAACAACAAGAGGTTTTAGAGGATTTCAAATTAATTATAAGTCTAAAAGTTCAACACCTGAGCATGCGCAGCATGGAGAGAACACATTTCAAAATGCATTTGGAGAGCATTAACACAGTTTTGTACTATTGCAAAGATCTGTGAAAGGAAGAGTGCGGGTAGCATCCCAAGTATCGCTGCAAAGACTGAGATCCGCACGCTTCTGTGAGAAGCTCAACTTTACTTGCAGGCAAATCAATTAAGAAGCAGCCCTGGCAGCTCAGCTTAACCGATTTCCTGTTTGAGCACCTCTGTTACACTGATTTCATTATTTAACTTGTTCTGATTAATGGGAAAAACAGAAAGAATCCATGGTCAAAATATTGGACAAACTGTTTAAGCTAATGAGGGAAGACACTGGTGTTTGTGAAGCAGCTGACAGTGAGAGCCTGGAGGAGAAAAGGAAAACAGCTGCCTGCAGATAAACACTAAATTCAAGCACAGGAGCAAAGTGAAGGGGAACACGCCAGTGTGCTTCAACGTATCAAGTGGCAACACAGGCAATTGAGAAATGCTGCATGAATATTGATCATCTTACTCAGCTGATTAATACCCTTAGGTTATGTCTACACCAGTGCGTAATATAGTCCCTGGGAGTGAACCTGGGTGCTCAGTTCCTGATCATCTGCTCTGCATAATGTATTAGTGTATGATATTCTATACTACATTCTGGAGTAAAATGGTTTGCAATAGTCCATATTCAGTAACTAATCTCTCCTCAAGGACCACCAGTTGAACAAGGCTGTACACCAGGGTACCCTGCAGGAGCCACATGTCCAGGAGACTAGGGCGCAGGTGCATCAAAACCAACATGTGGTCTGGGCCATGTCTAGTTAGCTGGCATCCTGCCCTTTTTGGAACATGAAAGGCAGATCTCCAAGAAATCAAGCAACAGAGTTACAGGCAAGTCCTCACAGCATTTTTGGTTGCCTTTCCTCAAAAGAGGCTGGTCTCAAAGTAGCTCACTGCTCATTCTTCCTGCACCTTTATGCATGACTAAGAGAGAATATGAAAGGTGTCTAAATTCTGTCCTAGAATATGACCTCAGATGTTGTTTCTTAGGTCTCCCCCACCCCCAGGTAAGGGAACCAATTAAGCTGAATCGTATGCTGTGGGCTTTGAACTAGGGAGTTTGTAACAACTGAACAGAGAGACCACAAAGTGCCCTAGCTTGACATGGCAAGAGTGAACAGACTGTGGACAGAGGGGTGTGCACTGCGTAGAAGCAGTGTCTATCTGGACTCATTGGGTGCAGATAATGCCCATCAGCCGGTTTGCCATGTGCCTAGTTTGAAAAATAAACAGAAGCAGTGTTAGAGCAAGAGACTGCCAAGGAGTTCACCTGGGGCTAGGGGAATGCAGAAACAATAAAGGCACTGTATCAGGCTTTTCCAGGTCTAGTCCTCCCTGGAAACATTAAAAAAAAAAAAAAAGTAACAAACATCTTAAATTATGTGTTTCTTGTGAATTAACAGCAATATTGGCTACATTATTTATTTCCTTTTTGGCTTGTCTGTTCTCCTCTGACACCAAGGCTCTCAGTCGTACGTACACTACTGCTTGTGAGGCTGTGGTCTAGACTGGATGAATGTGGTTTAAGATGAACTCTCCAAAGTCTGTTATTTAAAAAACGTGGGTCATCTTATAGATGTGACCTAGGGCACAGCCATGGGAGCTGTCAATCAGCACACCTGTGTTAATTCAGGCTCTAGGGGGGAAGATGGGAGTAGTGTGAGACCAAATAAATTACTTAAACCAGATCTACTGCCCATGGAGCATGAAGCTGTGCCCTCTGTGACAACAATTGGTAGCTAAGGGACGTATGGATGTACTTGCATTATTCAGCCGGTAATTCTAGTCACATTCCTTCTTTTCACAGCTTGCTTGTTTCCTTGGGATCCTGTGCTCTTCAAGCTGGGTGTTCTCTTTGCCCTTAGTGATATCCCCCATTTTGGAGCTCACCTCTGTGGGAAACCTCATTATTAGCATTAGGCCTATATGCTGTGCTCAAAATAAAAATTCTACAGCACAACAGATTTGATCACTTCATTTTCTTGCCTAAAGCATGCTGTGATTTCTTCCCCTGTTGGGCTCTGTGGGTGGAACAGGCATTTCAGTATACACTGACACGTTCATTAGAGGGAGTTCTTCCGTGCTAGAGATACTAACATATTTGTTATTACTGCCAATTCTCTCCTCCTCCATACCAAGTGGTCGCCTGAGCTAGAATTCCTTTTAAGGACAGACTCCCAGTAGTAGTAAACTCCTCCTCAAAGTGAAGAAGATCTCTTCAGAGGTCAGCTTCTTCTGCTTTCTCAGAATCCTGACTCCCCCATATTTCTTAGAAAGTCATTATTAAAGATGTCAAAACCACTTGCAAAAAAATCACGGAAATTCTATAAATCAATGTCATATTTACCTCTTCATGACTGTTAACAACTCAACACCATACCATGTGAGTTAAAAGGTTTTATGCAAGCAAAAATGTTTAACATTTAATATAAAATCAAAGTTTGACATAGCTTATTTTTCAAAATAATCCTTTTTCTGTACATCAACTGACAATTAGAAGACCACAATTAAAAAGTAATCCTAAATACTTTTAAAAGCCTTATAAAAACATTCATAAAGTGCCACCACAAATGCACCTAAACAAGAATCTGAGACATACCTATTAGGATGTTGATTTACTTAATTGCTGCTGGGGACTAAGCTGTCAGACAGCAGCATAATTTGTGGAACTGTAAATTTTACAACCATACAATCCAGCAAAAATACTGTTCCATAGACATGGCCCCAACAGAGCATCAGCTGGGCCCACAACATGTATGCAGAGGCACCCTGCAGAGTGTTGTGGGGTTTTAAAATAAATAGATGCTAACACCACTTAAACCCAAGAATACCGAGAAGCGGGATATGTGGATTCTAAAGGGAGCGATCATCCCGGGCTGTGGCCTCACCACAAGGGAAGACCCCAGCAGCTTATACAGAAAACAGGTACAAATTTTAGCTGCTTTTTACTGGGATAAAAATCACTCCCCACTAGAAATAACATGAAAAGGCACTGATCCTTGGAACGTCTCTATGTTGTCCTCTCTGGCCTTGAACGTACCATACTGTAAGCACCTTTCTTTTCCCTGTCCCCATGAGCGGCGCTCAGAACCACCATACCACAGTGCACGTGCACTAGTTCGTTCGGCAGCAGTCTCCCTCTTTGCTCGAGTGTCTGGGCAGTGCTCACAAATAGATCTACTCAGAAGAAAAGGGGACAGGCTCTGAGGGCTCCCTCCCGCAAAATTCATGCCCTGGATGAAGTGTACAAGGAGCAGCTGTGTGTCTTCCCAACACCAGCTAGCTACCTATGGTCCATACGGCCTTCTCCTCTCCACCAACTACTCTGTATGGTGCTTCTGGTGGCGCACCAGCTGGGGCTGGAACCGAAAGCTTTCCCCGCACTGGGTGCAGTGGTATGGCTGCTCCCCAGTGTGGATGCGGGTATGCTTGATGAGGTTGGAGTTGCCACTGAAGCCGCGGCCGCACTGGCTGCATTTGTAAGGCTTCTCGCCCGTGTGGGTACGAGCGTGGTTAATGAGGTCTGAACTCTGCCCAAAACGTTTGCCACACTGCCCACAGGCGTAAGGCCGGATGCCATCGTGGGCTCGCTGGTGCTGAAGGAGGTGGGAGTGTTGGCTGAAGCTTTTCCCGCAGGCTGGGCACTTGTAGGGCCGCTCGCCTGTGTGCATACGCTGGTGTTTGATGCAGGTGGAGCTGTCGCTGAAGATCTTCCCGCACTCAGTGCACACGTAGGGTTTGAGCCCAGTGTGGATGCGCTGGTGCTTGAGGAGGTTAGAGCTTTGACTGAAGCTCTTCCCACACTCGGCACAGGTGTACGGTTTCTGGCCCGTGTGGATCCGCCGGTGCTGGATGAGATGGGAGCTCTGGCTGAAGCCCTTGCCACACTCCCCACACAGGAACGGGCGCTCCCCTGTGTGCATTCGCTGGTGCTGGATGAGGTGGATGCTCCTACTGAAGCCCTTGCCACACTCAGAGCAGATGGTGGGCCGCTCTACACGAGGGACTCTCTGTGAAGCTGCTGCCACCCTTCTCTCCTGTCTTTTCGTCAGGCTGATATCAGAGCAAGGCAGTTCAGCCTCCTCTTCCTCCTCACAGCCACCTTGCTGAGCCTCTGAGAAACCGTGCTGACTTCCATGGCTGTCCCCAAACTGTTCCTCTCCTCCTCTGGGCCCTGCTGCCAAAATGTCCTGCAGATCTGCACTTGCAAGGTGATCTGGAAGGGCACCTAGCTCACCACCTGGAAAAAAATGTATCACTCTAACTGTGATTCTTGCTGGGAAGTGGCACAGCAGAGAACAGGCAAGCTGTTCTCCTAGGGAGCCTGGTCTGTACCATGTAGGAGAAGCAGTAAAGGGAAGACTGGGAGCAAACAGAAACCTAGCTGCAGGAGAGGCTGTATGGCCTCGTCATGCAACCCAGAGCAGATGTGCCACAAACAGCAGAGCCAAGGGCAATGCTACAAGTGTCTCCTTGTCCCCAAGAAATCTTCACACCTTGTCTTCTTAATATTCTGTCTTCTTATACACACTCTTAGCAGCAGGCTGTTACAGACAAAGGCAGGCTGTCTGCCTGTCCTGAGGGGGAAAGAGCAGGTCTCAAAATGAGCTGCATGGAACAAAGTGGCTTAAAAATAACACTGAGGCAGCTCAAAGAGCATTTTGCTTGCTCTGTGTTTATAAACTTATCTAACTTATTCCTCACCCATGTGTGTCTCCTCCAAGTCCTCATGATCTTGTTCTTCTCCTTGGTCCATCTGGGCAGTTACGTCACGTTGAGCAACCAGGAATCCTTCTTACATAAGCAGACAAAAGTAATCTTAGTTGAATATTCAGCATGAGCTTGTCATATGTCTTAAAATATACTACACGTGCTGAATATGGGGAACAAGCAGAGTGGTTGCATAAAAGAATGGAGTCAAATGAGCAACAAACATTGATGGACATCCTGTGCACTACTGAGGTATCTGGTGTCACTTTCCTTAAAGGACATTCAAGGTTGCAACTCTTCTGATAAGTGATATATATTAGGACATACACCAGACATGCTGGACTCAGAATTGGTTGACAACAATCATAGATAAAGGTGTAAGCAAAGAGCAAAACCCAGCCATACTTACTTTCCTTTAATAATGACAGACAAAAGATTAATTACTCTCCTAAGATTATTTTAAATGGAAAGTTACTCTTTAGTCACCAGAACCTGATTTTCTTACTTGCTACCTCATGTCTTCTTTCTCCTCCAAGACTCTCAGGCTGAGGCAGCAAAAACCAACAAAAGAGGCAATTTTATGTCTTGTCTACTCTAGCTGGATTCTGTTAGTTCCCAGCCTGGCATCCCTACTGAGCTCCAACAACTGTCATGAATGCAACTGTTGGGCAGGGTCCTCTTACAAACACTATGAGCACCAAACACAAGAATTGTTCCTTCAGTATTTACTATTTTAAGGCCAAAACCAGCCAAACAGTAAGCAACAGCAGTAAGCATCAAGATGGCAGGCATTAGCAGTTGCTGCAGAAAAAATATTTATAGTCTCTTAATACCAGTTTGCACTACTTCAAAAATATACTCCCTGAACTCTGTCCAACTTCTCTGGACAACCAGTACCTCTGGACAACTACTCAAGCTCCAGATGGAATTGACTAACTGGACAGATGGGCGCTGGTGCAAGCACTGTAAACTGATGGGTGCCTGGTCCTGGACCACTTCATCCATCACCAACAGCTATTTAACAACAAGTAATGGGTAATAAGGCATTAGATCGTGTCAGAATCAAGGACACAACTCAGATGAAGGAAATGGTTTTGGACCTCAGATGTCAGGGATTACAAAACCACCAGTCTTGAAATCTTTTATTCTATGAGGAAAAGCTGGACAGAAAGAAAGAGAGCAAGCAAAAAAAAAAAGACTGCAATCTTGAACTGCAGAACCATGAAGAAAAACAAAATCAGAAAGCAAAAAAGAAGCCTTAGGGGAAAAAAAAGCAGCCTTAAAAGGTAATAATTTGAGTCCCTACTTTAAATATTTGCTGAACGCTGAAGTGGACCACCCCTGCAGATGGATAATTTCTAGCAGTTCCAAGCCAATATACAAAGGGAGTTTGCTTTCTGCAGCCCTACAGCTCTCAGGACTTCGTCACTACCAAGAATTTCTGCTTTAACAGTTTGGCAGTACAAGCTGCCCAAGCTATCTGCCTGCTTAAGTATGTACCAGATGGCCCACCCCCGCCCCAGAGCAGGAGTCAAAACCCAAACTCCGCACACAGACCTTTCCCCCAGGCAGCTAACCACAAACAGCAGGGTTTCTCTCTGAAAGCTGTCAACAAACAGGAACTATGGAGGAGCAAATCCCTCAGTATTTCAGAGGTGGTACCAGCATCTCACAAATGTCCAACAATCACCACCCGGGGAAACATCTAAGCAAGCAGACAAGCTAGAAGAAAGAGTTCCCTTCTGACCCTGCAAAAACTTCCTAGCTCGAGTTGCTATTGCCACACTGCTGCTATGCTCAGATTTGCTATGGCAGCTCAGCAGAAGGCGGATAATCCTTATAAAATTAACAGGCTAGTCTGGAGTGAGCAAGTTTGTCTTCCTTTGTCTGTGAAAAGAGAACACAAACCTCATCAACAGAGGGGACCCTACTTCAGGGATTTCATCTGTGACTGACATACATTGGGCATATTGGGTTATTGCCTGAATGTGGAAACCAAAACAGGCAGAATGCCTGTGTATGCAGGTGTGTGGGGTTACTGTAAGCAACATCCACAGCTTTACTAAAACAAGATATGAAGGGCCTAATTGGAATCTAATTTGGACTGCCAGCAGGGGCTTTGCAAACACACCATACTGTTCCAGGGGCCCTGGCTTTAGTATTGTGATAGCATATACAGATTTTGTAGCTGGGTCCTACAATTTATGTTCTTTACCTTGGCTACTCATTTGCTCTTCCAACTGCTCAGCTCTGTATTCCTCCCATGGCTGTACCAAGCTGTGAAGGTTATGAGACTCCTATTGCAGAGCTCCATACTTTCAACTTCTTGTGCTCCTGAAATGCTGTCAGTGGCTAAGTGCTCTCTGTATGGCCATGCCAGGCACAACAGCACAAACCTGCAATTCACAAGAAGGTGATCAAATCTTCTTCTCCCCAACTATTATCTGGGATAGATAATGCTTGCTTTAGTACAATCAAAAGGTGAAGACATTTTTTATCACAGAAAACAGTTACATTATGCAGCTGCTCACATTTCTCTTGGGTGTGATGAAAGCCCCCTCCTTCCCTGTACTACCAGATTTGTTCATGAAACAAAGTGCTTGTCAGTGGCTGCCTTCCTGTCCAGCTCTGCGCCCAGCCTGGATGCTGGCGGGGCGCGGGGAGACAGACACAAGAGGCGGAACGGGAGGGCCACTGCAGAGTGCACTGCCAAGGGCACTCAAAGGCAGTGGGTGGGTGTGAGGGGGCAAGTACGTTATCATTGTTGGGAACAGGGATTTTCCACAGAGGAGGGGCAGGTGGGAAAACCTGCCTCTCTGCAGCAGCGATCACAGAGGCACTGGGTGGAAACTGGGGAACGATACACATTTTCTCTGTGACAGGTGACAGGGATGGAGAAGGGGAAACTGCATGACAGGGAAGGGATGAAAGGAGACAAGGATGACAACTACAGCAGAGTAGCGTCTGTAAAAGGGGCAAGTTGGCCTCCCTTTCTCCGAACTGCCTTTTTTTCTTCTCCTCCGGGTAGCTCCTTCCTCCACAGTGCCGACAGACAAAGGCTCTGACACGGGTTTAAAGCCCGGCTCTCACTGCGCTTGGCCTCCCCGAGAGCCGGCACATACCCGCTCGGGCATCCCCGGCCCTGCCCCTCACTGCCGCCCTGTCCCCCGGCCTAGCAGCTG